TCAAATAATGCAAGACCTACTGAGTTTAGGTAAAGTACATTTTTACTTTTTTTTTTTCCCCACTCAAATGTGCAAAATACCTCATCTGTTGGTAGCACTGGAACATATTTTTCTGGAGACAGCACATCAAACTCCCAAGTCCTAGAAATGCAATACCCTGTGGTTTCTAGAAATAGATGAAGTATAGCACTTTCTTCTAGTGATGATTTCCTAAAAGTCGTTAAAAATAATATATAGTCATATTCAGTAATTTATAAATGTATTCTGTCTCTGCATTGAAGTAGTTTGGCACTTCATGTACTGTGTTATGTTTCTGTACTCTAGATCCACAAGCCTCTGAGATTTGTCTCACGTAGTAAAATTGAGTAGGGTATCTTTAGATGACCAAAGAAGAGGAGGCCTCGCTATTCCGTTCTTAGCATCTTAACAATATGTTTATGCTTTTTTGTAAAAATAAACAAGATGCTGAGAGTTCTTCCCCAAATAGTATGAGGCATGTGTGTTGTACTGGTGACTATGCAGTATTTGGCATGACGGCTAAAATAGCCTGGTGCTGAAATAAGGTGAAGAAAATAGAAAAATGTTTTTTTCAGCCTTTGATATTCAGTACGTGAAATTTGTTAAATTCTTTGAAATAGAAATGTCATCTGCTCCTTAAAAGCCTTGGAGACCTGGCATGTTGTGAAATTAGAGTAGTCAATTTGAGGTAAGACCTGTCCGAGCAGTTGCGATTGGAAAGGATGTCAGCTCGTTGAGGGTATGAGAGAGGCTTTCAACACGTGGTGTGCTGTAGCTTCACCTGCAAGTAAGTCTGAAGGCATAGAAGTTATGCAGGTGGGCTACATAGTCATTTCGTAACAGAAGGAAGCCAGCTCACGTGTTACAAATTTTATCTCGGATCCTTTCTTCCTGAAAAGCACAACTGTAGTCTGATGAAAGGAGGAATGGCAGCTGACGGTACACAGCTACCGCTGCTTGGTCTGGAGCTACCAAGGGTTCGGGGTAGACAAACCAGGACAATCCCAAATTTTGCCTGACTGCCAGATTCTTGCGCTAATCTGAAATTTCTAGGTTGTTTCTCAAATATGTTATCTCAAATTGACATAAGGTGGTATCTTTGTGACAAAATTTTGCTAAAACTTGGTGAAAGTTGTATCGATCAAGTTTGTTACGGAAAATCATGACAGAATCCCACATATGGTCCCGGCTTCTCTCATGCATCCGCCACTGGCTCTGCTTCTGTAAGTGACCAACGGATTGCTTCTATGCACAGTTATTTTTTTTCTACAGATTATTTAATTTTCCAAAACTGCTCGTATTTATGCTGGATTTCAGTTTCCTGTGTTGTACGTGGATTTAGTTCCAATTTTGATTTTACTCATTGACAAGCTTGTCAACCTTTGCTTTGTGCGTTTAGTATATTTGTGACTGAGAATATAATTTACATAAATAGTTCCAAAATGCGGAAACTTTCACTTATTTTTTTTTAATTGATAAATGGCATTATTAAGTTGTCAATGCTCAATGTTTCTAGCTTTAGGTTTTCTGCTGTTCTGCCTTTTGTGCTATATGTCACATGACCAATTACAAAAAGCAGCAACATAATTTAATTATCAAATTAATGTGAAATAATGCACAGTCACAGAAGATTACATATCTGGCACTGCAGTTCCTTGCTAACTGGCCTGTAATCCTAGAAGAGATGCAAACACTAAAAAAGCAAATTTAAAAAGAGTTTTCATTTGCATTTGTTTGTTCCATATCCCATATGATGGGTAAATAACTGTCGGTGGAAATGGCTAGTGTCAGCATTAAGCCATAGCTGAGAAATATGTTTCCATTTATTGAACACATTCCCAAGCTTTCCAGTACTTTTCTGTCTCCTCCTAGTGCCAAGCCATAACCTAGATGGCTCCAAAAATGTAGTGTAATGGGTCCAGACTGACATTCTTAGAGTCCAAATTACAGTCTTGACTGGTTAAGTTAATAAAACATGCATGATTATGAAGTGAAAAGCTGCTTCCCAATGAAACACTGTGATTTTAAAACACAAGTGCCTGAGCCTCTTCAGTTGTCTTTTAGCCCCTATTGAATGCAGTTCCTCAAAGTAACAGCAGCTCTGTTTGCCCTCAAGAAACCACACACACCGCTGGCCTTTCCCAGTCTGGGAGGGGAGGGACCTGGGCACTCTAAGCTCCTTCAGTTTTTGCTCTTCTGACAGCTACATGGAGGATGTTTTCTCCTGTCACAGCCATCTAGAGCAACCCTGGAGGGGCAGGAAGAAATGTCTGGAATAAACACGGAACGGAGGACATGGCTATTTGAAGAGAGAACAAGGATATCCTGAAGAACTTAAGGACCTTAAGGGTCGAAGTAACAAGTGCTGTCACACGGAGAAGGAAAACCTTCTGTAAACTTGCGAATGTGACAGAAGCACATGCCTCAGGGAGAAGAAATCAGATTTACACATTGGTCAGAGGATCTGCTGGCAGCGTGGTGATGGCCATGCAGAAACTTCATGTCATGTGAGACTTTTATTAGGAGAGTGAGTTCATAATGTGATCACCCACGGAAGAGTTGAGCTTAGACTTCTTTAAGTGCGGTGGATAAGGGTTAGACTTGATTAAGGGGATAGAAGGATATATCATCCCAGACAAGACTAAGGGACTAGGCTTGTGAAGTCTAGCCAAAGGAACTCTGAGAGGGGATATGAGTGTTGTATATAAATACATTTGGATTGTAAACACCAAGGAAAGAAAGTAGGGTTTAAGCAAATGGCCATACTGGCACCAGAACAAATGGATATAAGCTGGGCTGTGAATAGATTGAGGCAGGAAATAAGAAAAAAATTTCCCTATCAGTGGAGCTGTGAGATTTTGGAACAGTTTTATTTTAGGAATTAATGGGACAAACAAAACTAAGGGCGTTACAGGTGGGCATTCAGGTTGTCTCCTGTGTAGACTGCCCCAGGCATGGGCTTTGGCTTGGTCCAGACCAGCTGTTATGTGACTGTAGAAGCAAAACCATTAAACTGTTTTGGGCATTTTTTAACCCTGTGTAACAGCTCAAGGAAACAGGTTCTGATGAGTGCAGTCCTTCTCATTGGTGACTGATGGATGTAATCTCCAAAGGACTTGTTTGTACCATTAAAATCAAGGAGTTTGGGGTGTGTATAATCATTTATAAGATCAGAGCCTACACCTGTTCTTTGAATTATCTTGTAGCTGCATTCTTTAAGGATGTGTAATTTATGTTTTTGCAGTTCTAACTCTTAAAAGTAAATCCAAATTCTGCTCAAAGGATTCTGGTCTTTATCTGACTTAGAACTGTGATTGTCAATCTAGAAACACCTGCTGAAATAGCATAAATCTTGTGAAGCGTTCACTAAGAAGCAGATTTCTTTCATTTTTATGGAGTTTGCTTTTATTTTATTTTGGAATTTTCATGTATTATAATTTTAAAAATTACTAATGCAGATCTTGGGTTTCCAACGTTTATAATCCTCTGTGAGAGAATGTTTTGCTGCAGTAGGTTTTTTTTTAAATGACTTATGTTGATTATTGTTACTGATCTTGCAGTATCCTAGAAAATATTTCTGTGAGCAGAACTAATTTTGAATGACAGAATCTACGTGTGCACCAGACCCAAAAGTCTATTAAGTAAGAAATTTAGAGCCTCTGCAGAGTTTTTATGTGAAGTGCGTCATTGAAACCTCCTTAAGTCATTGCAGCTAGCTTAGATATTCACGTGATTTGTGCAAGTTTTGTATTGCATAGAGTGATTACAATATTAGGTAGTGCATTGAAGGTGGAAACACAAAGATGTGTTTTGAAGAAGTAAAATCATCCTATTTGAATATATAGAGAGGAAAATATTTCCTGCTTTCTGAACAATAAAGTTGTATCAGCTCTGTAGGGTATGTTGTCACCACTTGTTTAATAGCAGAATTCAAAACTCTTGGGCACAATGTGGTTGGCTCTCTTCTGTTTCTCCACAACCCTTTTTCTTAGTTTTTCTTGAGTGGGTTGGATGTGCTCTAACATAATTTTGAAGATATCTAGACCTTTCAGATCCTATGAGGGGGTTTTTTGTTGTTCTTTTTACTTGCTCTGTCAACTTTTTGTATTATTTTTCTTTTTTTTTTGCTTTGGTGCAATTTCTTATTTCTTATAGATGCTATTTTGTCTTGAGGATGTGTTGCTCAAGTGTTCAAAAAATGTGTAGATGTACCACTTCGGGACATGGTTTGGTAGTCATGGTAGTGTTGGGTTGATGGTTGGGGTTGGTGAGCTTAGAGGTCTTTTTCAACCTTAATGATTCTGTGATTCTAGTTTGGCATTTCATTTGTACCAATTTTTATAACATCCATTCTTCCATCAATGAGAGCTTAGAGAGTTGCAGTATCAATAAACTAAGGGACAGGCACATTGTTCTTTCATATGAATTGACAGATTTCAGTCTCTGTTGTCTAATGGGTTTGTAATGATTACTGAATGTTTTCTATTCAGGTATCAAGTGGTTGAATAGTGCCGTGAATGCCTGTACCACTGTGCGTGTGGTGAAGAGCAAGTGCTCTGTAACTTCATTCAAAACTGAATTGTCAGCTGCCTAAGCATAAAAATACTTACTGTTTACAGTGAGTGCCTGCTCCTGTGTTGTGGTTCATCTGCATGTGCAGATGCAGTCCAGTGAGGCTTGTACTTGGGGTTCGATGTTGCAGGGCATCGCTCGTGAAATAAGAGTTTTCCTTCTTAATGAGAACACAAATACAGGTCATCTGGTTCTTCCAGAGCTTGTCTCGTCATGCTAGAATGGATATGTCAGGTTAAAAAGACAAACAAGAGGTTGGAAGGTGTTTGTAGAAATAACCCTTAAAACAAAAGACCTGGATTTAATGCTTTTACAGTCTTTTTTATACCTGAAAACATGTATATGTGATTAAGCTGAGATCCTATGAAAGCAAAAAAAAATAAGTATTTTTTCTTCCGTTTTACTTATAGGTACTAAATGAAGCAGTGGGTGCACTGATGTATCACACTATCACTTTAACACGAGAAGACCTGGAGAAATTTAAAGCACTTCGAATAATTGTCCGAATTGGCAGCGGTTTTGATAATATTGACATCAAATCTGCTGGAGATTTAGGTATGGATATTAAAGATACTACTTTACATCTTACACTTGCCTCCAGAAATCTGATAGCATCTAAGACTTTGCATTAATGTTTTTGGTGTAAATTATACTAACATAGTATATAAACTGTATAATTTTCTCATCAAAGTGTTTAAAAATAATTATGGAGATACTAGCATTAGTTAATTAAGCGGTAATATTAACAGCTTTGTGACAGGATCGCAATCTGCCTATTCGGTATAAATCCAAAGAGGCCATAACTTTCCATCTCTTTTTTTTCTTTAGCCCAATTGTATATTTTAACTGCTACTGTTTAATCCAGTCACAAAATATAATTCCATCAGCACAGCATTCTGTTTCTGATTGAATAAAAACTGAGATCATTATCAACTATCTGAGACTTATTTATGATGCATGAGATTTAGTACTAAACAACTCCATAAAACAAATACCGGTTTTATAAGCAGAACTCGGAGTGGTGGCTGACACCCAGGCAGGCTGAGCTGCCATCCAGCGACTTCTGGACAGGCTGGAGAGTTGGGCAGAGGGGAACCTCATGAAGTTCAATAAGGACAAATGTAGAGTCCTGCATCTGAGGAGGAATATCACCAGGCACCAGTACAGATTAGGGGACGTCCTGCTGGAAAGCAGCCCCAGGGAGACAGACCTTGGAGTCCCAGTGGACAGTGAGTTGTCCCTGGGACAGCGATGGGCCCTTGTGGCGAAGAGGGCCAATGGGATCGTGGGGTGCATTAAGAAAAGTGTGTCCAGCAGGGCTAGGGAGGTTCTCCTGCCCCTCCACTCTGCCCTGGTGAGACCACACCTGGAATCCTGTGTCCAGTTTTGGGCTCTCCAATTCACGAGAGATGGGGACCTATTGGAGAGAGTCCAAGGGAGAGCTACGAGGGTGATCAAGGGACTTGAACATCTCTGCTGTGAAGACAGAGACACCTAGGTTTGTTTAGTCTTGAAAGGAGATGGCTGAAAGGGGTTGTTATTCATGTATATACATATCTGAGGAGTGGGGGTCAAGAGGAAGGTGCCAGTCCCTTTTTGATGGTTCCCAGTAATAGAACAAGAAACAGTGGGTATAAGCTAGAACAACATGTGAATTTCCATCTAAATATGAGAAACTTCTCGGGATGACAGAGCCCTGGCCCAGGCTGCCCAGAGAGGGTGTGGAGTCTCCTTCTCTGTAGACTTTCAAAACCCGCCTGGACGCAGTCCTGTGCGATGTGCTCTGGGGGATCCTGCTTTGGCAGGGGGGTTGAACTAGATCTCTAGAGGTCCCTTCCAACCCTTAATATTCTATGTTTCTACATTTCTGCGATTTTACAATCAGTTGTTAATGCTTCAGAATAAATTCACATACTGCAACTGTGAAGGAGATGGTGCGTTGTTTTTTGCTGTCTTACTTTAGGATAAACCATCTCTTGCTTTGTCTGTAGGATAAACCATCTCTTCTTACCTGTAATCTATTGGTCAAACTACCACTAGGAATAAATGCCTATGTTTTCTTCGTTTATTTTTAAAGATTGAGATGACCAAGTATACCTCCATTTATGATTGGGGAAGGTCTTTGAAACATTTTTATCAGTGTGACAGTGCTTAGTCCTAGTAATGACCCCAGTAATGTAACGAGGAGCTGTAATGTGGTCTGTTCATCAGTAAATGATAGTAAAGTAACGACCTGTTTCTAATGACGATATAGTCTGCCCAGCAGGCAGAGGCTAAATACTTTCAGATTGGTTCTGAAGGCATGCAAAGCTGTGTTCTTGTGTGTTGTAACTAGTGCTGAAGTTAGGTGCATGCATTATGAGCCCAAGAAAACACGTATATATGTAGGGATTGTGCTGGGGTCCTAGATGAAAAGCCAAAGTCTACGTCCAGATCAAAGACCCCAACCAGTCAGGAATCCAGTCTGTGCAGAGAATTCCCAATGAAAACAAAGAGCTTTGCAGGTTTGTTGGCTGGTTTTCTCTATGCTTGATTGTAACTCAAGCTTTATGATTTAAATGTATTCTCATAGTTTTTCAAGCCAAGGTACAGCAGATTTGGGAAATTCACATTGCTATGAAGTGTTAAATCGCTCCATTCCTGATCTTTCAGTTCCTATGTTGTGGTTAGAGTTATACAGTTAGGATCCATCCTGCTTGTGCATTCCAGCATGGTCGAAAGCCAATAAATGCTGGAAGGTTTATGGTGTAAAATCTCTGCTTTTAATAGTTAGGGTGAAATGGTTGGAATTAATTGCTAGCTCACCACTACTGGGACAAATCACTTTCAATTTACTGAACTAGTACAAATAGTAGGCATCTCAGAGAGGTAATATGACGGTTAACTATCTTTGTAAAAAAGCGGATTCACCCTTGAAATATAGTGTAGAGTTAGACTGTAAAGCCTGACGTATTTCTGAATTTCCATAGTAACTTTTTGAGTTATTTTTCATAGAGCTGGCTTGTGGGATTGTAACAAGCTTTCCCTATGAAGTATTATTTTCATGTTGACACTTTTCTTAAAATGCATGAGAATATACAGATCTTAGGTAAAATCTTTTAAGATCTGATCTGCTTTTTTCTCCACTTGGTGTAGAAAGTATATAGGTGTTTTGAGTGTAGCTGGATGCAAGTGAATCATAGAATCATGGAATCGTTCATTGGAAAAGACTCTTGGGATCATCGAGTCCGACCGCTAACCCTAGTCTACAAAGTTCACCCCTAAACCATATTCCCCCCCCACACATCTAAACAATCTTCAAACACATCCAGGGATGGTGATTCAGCCACCTCCCTGGGCAGCCTGTTCCAGTGTCTTGTTGAGGTGATGCCCATTGGCTCTTGCATTTTTTGCATTGAACCTCTGCACAAGATTGCTGAAAGTGAGGGGAAGAGGGGAAAGGGCAAAGAGCGTAGAAGCAGTGGAGATGTGTGCTGTGTTTTCTTATGTGAAATGTCTCTGTTCTTCACATCCCTACAGTTAGGGAGAGAAATTACCTGGCTTTTTTTCTCAAGTTTCCTAAGGAAACCTATTAGGGTGAAAGGTGTAAGGTGAGTTCAATTACTTATTTCCCTTCCCAGATATGTAGTGTAACTCCTTAAGCTCCTTACAATAAAGTAAGGATCAATAAAGATGCCAGCTCTCAGGAGATATGCTTATTAAATTAGTTTTACCATCTAAAATCTGCATTTTTGCTTCATGAGAAAGACTTTTTGTATAAAGAAATGCAGCTGTTTAATATGATGCACTTAAAGGGATGTTATTTTTCAGTCTTGTACTTTTCCCTCCACTCACACTTTTTTCCCCATTTTTAAGAAACAGTGAGTTTCATACTACCATTGCTGTTAGCAGGATGCCAAGATTAATATTCCAGCAAGTGATGCTGTTTTATATTTTTGTAAGTCTAAGAGCAGTGACTCAACTCAGCAGACATTCTATCTCTGCCGTAGAGGAAAGAAAAATAGTTCTGCAGATTCCTTATGTTGTTCAGAAAGATCTAAAAAAAGCTGTAAAAAAGTACTGGGCAGCAGAATAAAGGGATTTGAATTTAAAGCATAGATAAATTTATATGATCTTATTATTTGTCAGATTATTGTTATTGCATTACTGAAGAGAATTTTTTTCTTCCTTACTTCGTAAGATGTGCAGGCGTTATCTGAGGACTCATTGAATATTTATTTATGTAAAAACCCGAACAACTAGACAGTGAAAACAGTATTAGGGTGTTTTTTAGGATAGAAAACACTTTTTTTTTTTTCTCCACCGTGAAGTTATACTGTGTACAGTTTGTGATCTCAGTCAGCAGAACTGAGACACAAACATTCGTGGGAGCTGATGATTAGAGGGAAAACATGTAGTAAATAGAAAGAATGAAGAGAGACAAGTCAAAAGAGAGACAAACCTTTTCAAGTGAACATTTTGCTTAACTGCTCTATGTTGAGTACTGAAGACTAAAAAGCAGAGTGGGATAACTTACGTGCAATTACAATCGCTTGTTGTTTGATCTGGTTTTTGAAGGAAAAAAGGAGCGAGTCGTGAATCCATCCATCTTTCACAGTTCTCTCTGGAAATCTGTAACGTCTTTCATCTGCTTGTTGTTATGCTCTTTTCAACTAGTAACTTTTCAGCTATTAGGAACTAGGACTTAAATCTGTATGTACCGTACAGAAGCAGATTTTATATTTCCCCGTTGGCAATTAGATGGGTTTCCTCTAATTCGAGAGTCCAGGAAGGGACTGAGATTCTGTTTGTTGTAATTCTACAAACCTGTGCACAGCACAAAATGAATTGTCCCTCCCTGTGTCATGATTACTGATACATGAATTGGAAATAATAATACTCATCTTGTGAGGGCTTTGCAAGAGTTGCTGTCACTATAAATTGTTTTGACTTTTTAAAAACTTGTACAGATAGCTTTTGTGAAGGTATCTGAATCATAGATTACCAGATTGGAAGGGACCTCAAGGATCATCTAGCCCAACCCTTTCAGGTAAAGAAATACAGTTTAAATGAGATAGCCCAGTGCCCTGTCAAGCTGAGCCTTAAAACTGTCAAAGATTAGGGAATCCACAACCTCTCTTGGAAGACTATTCCAGTGTCTGATTCTCTCATGGTAAAAATTTTTCCTCTGAAGTCCAAATGGAATTTCCCCAGGAGCAACTTGTGCCCGTTACCCCTTGTTTTATCCGTGTGACTCCTCATAAAATGTGACTCTCCATCTCCTTGGTAGCCACCCTTTATGTACTGGTACATGGTAATAAGGTCTCCCCTGAGCCTTTTCTTCTTAAGGCTGAGCAAACCCAGTTCTCTTAGCTTAGGGGTGGAAAGCTAACTCACGCAGTTAAATCTAAACAATAATCACTAAATGGCATGCTGAGGGCAAGGCAGGTGTCTCATTGCTGTTAACCTAGCTCAGTGTGCTTGTAAAAGGCTTACCAAGACTGGTGTTCTAAGGTATCTGACATCTTCAGTGCTTTCCTTCTGTGGTTTCTGTGGTCCATTTACTGTTTGCTTTAGTTTGCAAGCACAATAAATAGTAATAAAAAAATCAGAAAATAATACATTTGCACATATTTATCAACTGCTATGTCAAGTATTCTGTCTGCCATTGCAGTCTGAAACAATATTTGTGCAAAATGGGTGTTGAAATATCTGTAAACTTAAACCTCCTACTCCTGAATTGCTGTTACCTAGGGAAAAGGAAATGTTTGACAGTCGGTATCCTTTCCCCTCATTCTTTGCAGGGATCGCAGTGTGTAATGTGCCAGCTGCCTCGGTAGAAGAAACAGCAGATTCTACTATGTGCCACATTCTGAACCTGTACCGACGAACCACCTGGCTTCACCAGGCTTTGCGAGAAGGCACGAGAGTACAGAGCGTCGAACAGATTCGGGAAGTGGCTTCTGGAGCGGCCAGGATCAGAGGGGAGACCTTGGGCATTATTGGATTAGGTATGTGGGCTTGGAGAGGTGATTTAATACACCTTGCCTCCCTTCTTTTTTTAAAAAAAGAAATAAAATATTTGAGCTGTAAAAATGGAACCCTTAGTTCTTTCCTTTCCATGTCGAGCATTCTGTATAATAACGCTTCATTCCTGGTGTTTATGTATTTCAAATGTTTTTGCTTTAGACATCACCATTTCCCTCAGAAAACTTACTTTGTCCCTGGTAGTCTCTGAATTCTTCAAGCTTTCGTACATCTTTCTGCTGCCGTATTGCCTGGTGTCAGGCACGCTGGTTGTGTGTGACCCCATCACTTCCCTTTTCCAGGACAGGATCCCACAACCCGGGGCCACACGGATATGCTGTATTTCTTGTCCGTTGCTATGTCTGGTTCTGTTTGTACTTTTTTCCTTCTAAGTGCTTTAACATACCCGAAAAGTCTTTGCTGCAGTAACAGCCTGCAGAGCTGTTATTTCATGCGTTTGCTTGATCTGCATCTGAATTTGTATTTCAGCTCACATGAGAGGAAAAATATATGCAAGGAAGTTTGAAATGTTTCCAGAGCTAATAAAATCACCTACTTACCTCTCTGAATGGCCCTAAATGTGTTTCAGCATCTAACAGATGGACAGGCTTGCTTGAGATGAATTAATTACTGTCTGTTACAGAAGTGAAGAAGAGAAACAAGCAAGTCAGTTTCTATATAAAAATTATTTAGTCATGTGCTTGTCTCATCAAAGTTCTGATAGATTGTGGATATAATTGCTGTCGTATTCATCCACAGGAATTAATAATATCATTTTGACAACAAGGCATCCTACTTAAATGACTGTTCCAGTTACACATTGCTGTCAAATAACTCCAGCCACGAACTCCTACTTTTGGAAGTCTTACATAGTAATCATTTAAATGAGTATTCAACACACCAAAAGCATCTTCACAGTCAAAAAATTGCCTTTAAAATACAACTTTCAAGAATTTAGTCATGGAGTTCCTTTCTCAAATTTATACCTGTGTAATTATGCACCTCATTTGAACACAATTATTATTGTACTCAAAGTCATAGCATCTGTACATAAATAATAGACAGTCACCTGCGTTGATTTAAAAATGGCAATGCATACACAGTTTTTGGAAGTTAAACTTTGGCACACATGCTGTGTGTCTCTTTGCTAAAGATATCTTGTCTTGTTGGCATTGCATTTTTGTGTTGCACAAATTCCAGACTAAGATTAGGAAAAAACGTCATTCATTATTGACTTCCTTAAGTGAATTTTGTGTGTGGTGTTTTCGTTGCGAATGATAAAAAAGTATAAAGAAACAAACGGATAATCAGATTGCCAGTGTGCATAAAGCTATGTAAAATGCCAGGTTTTGGGTTTAGTTCTAAAAAGGAAGGCTTTTGTGCACATGGTATACTAAAAGGCTGGTAAAATCTGATTTTAAAGGTATGCATCTGTTACAGTTACTAACCAGACAGTTTCTCTAGCCGTTTATTATTCCTATTTCTTTTTCTACAATCAAACGTTCATACTTTCAAGAAAAACTAAATTTTGAAAACTGGGGCTTTTTTCTGCATGTATGTGAACAGGCACATTTTGATTCCAGCCTGTTCTAACAAACTCCTATGTAGCCATGTATTAATGAAGAATAAAAACGTAGTTTCAGAGGATATGGAAATAGGGCTGTAATAGACAGAGCACTTAAAGCACTTAGGCTGTGATAAACTTTTGTTACAAATCACTGCAAAAGGCTACCTGTCTGTAGTTTTAGACTAAAATAGGTGTTTACAACCACCTTCAACAGATTGATGCCCTTAGGTTGTGTTTTACTAGTGGCCTCTTACCCCGTGGCTGTAGTTTTGCCTCTGTTTGTTATTTTACTATTTAGACATGCCATCGTCAGAAGTAATGACTCGTTAGGAGGCTATGAAGTGAATGTATTGCACACCAAACCAGCAATTCTCATCCTCTGTTGCCAAGTCTTCCTTTTCACTAGTGTAAGAAGGAGTAAGTAAGCCCTTTTGTCTAGATACCGTGCAGTATTGCGGTTGCGTCTGAGATCATCTCGTATCTCGAGCACAGCGATGTTTCTCTATTCTTGTCTTAAATTTGTGGTCTTTTCTGCAGTGGGTTGCTTAAATTTATCACTTTGCTGCTGCAACAGCCAACTCCAGACCTTCACATCTGTTCCTGGGCTTTCCTCTTGTCTAGCTAAAGAGAAACACCCGAGCTCTTGCCTATCTCTGCTACAACATTCCCTCCAAAGCTTCAGCTACTCGCTTCCTTATCCACTGGGCTGGCCAAGTTTTGTGACTCACTTGCCTTTTCCTTTCCATCACCCACTCACTTTTCTTTCCCTCCTCTCACGCATATTCCTGCGTTGACACTAGGTCTGCCCTGCTTAATCCTATTACTCTGTGCTCCTCCTTTTAAGTTAACCCCATCTCTCATCTTCTGCAAAGTATTGAGCTTGAAGACAAACAGAGACTCGCCAGCATAAAGCCTCCTTCGAGTGCGTGTTGGATACCATCCGTCATTGTTGTGGTGTTTGGTTAGCCTCTGAGCTCCTTAGGGCAGAGCCTGTGTTTCTTTCTGTCTTTATGAAGTGTGTGATGCTTTGAGCCTTACATAAATAATTATGTCACATCACTAAACAGCTGTCTTTGTCACTTTTAATCTTTATTACTATCCAGTGTTCTGTATTTCAAGTGATTCATCACAAGGGTGCATAGGAAGCCCTACATTTGAAAGAAAAAGCTACCTTTTCACCTTAATATCTAGACATCTAGGGTGTTTTTTTAAAAGGAGAATATTTATGAGCGGCAGCATGTAGTATTTGGGTGAATAGATAGCTGGACCTGGTTCTGCGGTAATGACAATTTTACGGCAGTGAAGGCAGTGAGGTCACACTCCTTTCCCCTTCCCAGTTACAAATGCCAATGACTAATAGCTCATGCATTTCCTCACTTGAGAGAGGTGAAATTCCTCCAGATACGTTTGTCTCCACTTCGTAATGAATGTCATCACTCAGCTTGTCTTTCCTCACCTGCGTTATTCTCTGAACAGTCCCACGGTCCTGACTAAATGTTGGCCAAAGTACTGGTCCGCCTTATCAGGCAGTACTAAAGCGTAGGAGTTGGGTGGCTTTACCGTGCAGTAAATGATGCACCCTTAGAAGTTCTGCCAGCCCTCCTTGTGTGTTCGGCAGGAAATGTAACATTTCTCTACATTTCAGAGTTCTCCAACAGGGAGGAAAAACTGCCCAGTTTCTCCATTACCGTTGCATAGGCAGCAAAGAGCTGCTAAGCAAAAGCACTTTTTTTTTCCATGAAGGTCTGCAGGCAGGTCATCAACATTTCCACAGTATGAAGGGTACTTTACAGAACTGTAATGCCACGGTAGGATGTGCATTCTTTGCCCAAGGGCTGGTTGGGAGTCATAAACTGCAGCCACTACACTGTCACACTCCAATCGGGTCATTGGCAAGGTCAGAGATGCTACAGGCTGTGAGACTTGGGAGGAGTAGATGGGTCAGACTGTAACAGGAGGCCCGGGCGTTCTTTTTGAGTCTCTCTTCATACATGGGCTTTGCTAGAGCTTTGTGTAAATCCCTGGTTTCTAAGCTTTTGTTGCATTCTGCTTTTTTTTTTTTTTTTACAATTGTATGCAAAGTGCATCTTCTGCATTATTCCCACACCGCAGACTAAGGAGTTCATTTAATATTTTGAACTTCAGAATTTGCCTTCCCTGGAAGCAGTCATGAATATTCATAGCAATTGTATATGCTTTTAAAATAGAATTGTCCCAAAGGTGGGTTCCTTTGTGTGCTTTTCTGTTGTTCTTGATATGCTGAAGTAGGTTTTGAGCCACCCCTCATACCCAAGAGAAACTTGCAGAATAGATGTTTTTCAGGAAAGGAAAAAAAAAAAGTCATAGGTTTGTGATTGCACTATATTGTGGGACTGCAGTTTAAAAAGGAATTGGCAAATTATGTGTATCCACCTATGTATTTGTCTAACAACCAAGACTCAATAGGAATTGTCAGTTGTGGAAGAGTTTTATCCCATAAAATAATGGCAATCGGTTTGGCTAGAAGTACATGCGTGTCATTCCCAAGTGTTTCAGAAGGAAACTTTGCGCACAATGAAGGCAGCTTTGGTTTATTAGCCTGGTTGCAGTGAATGGAAAGCCTGGCTTTAGCTGGGGAGTCTGTTGTAAGAGATTTAACTGCTGTGAATCCCCTCAGGTATTAGTGTTGTAAAGAGTGTAAAAAAGAACAGATGACAATATTGTACGTGAAAATGAATGGAGCTGGAGTAAAAGTGATACACTTTGTTTAAAAAAATAAAAATTGCTTACAGTTGTGTGACTGATTCCTTGAGCTGTGAAAGTGCCAAAATTTGTAAATAATACAGTGTTC